ACCCAGTTTCTTGTATGAGATATTTTGCTACCCATTTCACTTTCTGGACTATTGTGCAATTCCTTTGATGCAACTAAGTTCACCGACACTCTGGTGGATCAAAGCTGTGCCATCTAGAGCAGTGTCTTTTCTTCAACATACATCTTCTAAACTTAGTAAGACAATATCATGATTTTTCTAATCATATTGAGAATTCTTATATGGAACACGTGCTTGGAAGGAATTTATTTATTTATTTATATCAAATGGCAGGCGTTTTGATAGTTATCATTAGCCCTTTAGTTAACTTCAGGCTTCACAGAGGGAAAGGAACATCAAAGTGATAAAGGTCGAGATGAAGGGGCAGAAGAGTGTTTCAAATATGTAAAAGAGACGGACACAAAGTTAGAAAAAAAGATGAGGTGAGTACTATGGAAGTGGTCGAATTTGGCATACAGTGGGGTGATGATAGTTTGGAGAAGTCAACTGCCGGTTAATAGATTTTTTGCCGTATGAGTATACGTTGCTCAGGGTGCACCACGTGGAGGTAAGTCTATCGCGCACACCGATTTTACGAAATTTCATTTTTCTGAGCTAAATACTCACTCATAGGCAATTTTATACATTTGTGGCGCTTACGAAAATTCAATAATTTTGTTAACTCACAGCTGGCTGATAATAGACACTGCTTCCTCGAATTTGAGATCATTCGGTTCCTTTGGACGAATCTGTACAATTTGCTTAATGTGATCCGCAGTCAAAGAAGGAACATAATCGCCGAAAGATAATTTCAAGAAGGCCTTCTCTGAACTCATACTCGCAGTTCTCAAACCGGAAACAGTTTTGTAAAATAGTCGTACCCTTTATCTATTTACGAGGGCAGTATCTACGCCCAGAGTGTATTGTTCGTTGTTGCAAGCCTAGCTTACTTCAACTTTTAGTGACACTGTATATAGTGGTTTACAGTATATTAGCACGGCATGTAGCAAGTGTACTTTTTGTTAAATTAATTATACAAATAGTCTGATTCACCTGATATAGGAATAGTGAAGTAGAATGGTTGCCACCCATTTTAAATCAACGAATTCGTAGCACATAAGAATAAAAAAGAGAAGTAAATGTAAGATCTTGAGTACTACGTGAGATCAATAACTCCAGATCCAGAAATTGATGAAAGACAAAGGAATGCACGACTGTCAAGCTACTAATTGGCTTTGAAGTTACGATAACTGAACTTGAGTAGAGAACAGTTGTCCTGGAACAACTTTTATGCTGAACTCTCTTTTTACCGCAACCTCTGACTTTCAGAATTAACTATTACAGCCGGTCATTCATACTAATGAAACTGTATTGAATCTGTGCCATGTTCGTATTTAATCACTTTCGCTAAATTGTTCGGAAAAAATTTCGCGTAATAATGTTTGATTTTTTTGTCCGTGATAAGGGGTTTCCCCTACACCGAATTCGTTAAGGTTCAAAACTATTCATTCCTGCGCTTGATGCCGACGTGACTGCATGTCTAGAGCCCATCTGAATCATGAAAAGCAATAATTGGTGTCATAGTAATTCGAGTTGACGATCAAAATAAGTTGGGTAGGGCCCTTGGTCAAAGTGAAGAGAACTTGGCACGAAGTGGAGGATTGTCATGGCGACTGTGTGGTTGGTGTGGCTAGTTCAAGACGTTGTAGGAGACAATTTGAGCTGGTTGTGCCCACACAAGGGCTTTTAGTGGATAAATGGGTTACTAAAGTGTTAGAGCACCATGGTATTGCATTTTGAGCATCTGTGTTGCCAGTGTGGTTGGAGTGTTTTAGCCTCTAGCATGAAGTTTGTAATGAATGAAGACCTTCCCTACTACTTATCGTACAAACATTGCAAAGGTGAGTTTGCCAGAGAAATGGCCAGCGAAACTGTCATGACAGAGGCGAAGAAACCTCTGAACAACTTGACTCATCTTACTGGAGCACAAACAAAGTGGTTCATATCTATGGCGCAGACCTTTGCCAAATTGAGAGCAGAAGAGGAAGAACAAGAGACTGGCTGGTTTGGATTGAGTGAAAAGGACACTGTCTGAGTCATGGAGGTAAATTGGTAAAATCGTGATAGTTTGTGGATGTGTCTTCCTGCTCTCGAGGGTGAAGTGGTATCTCCCTCGAAGTTGATTGAAAAGGAGCTTAGTTTGAATTCGGATGTCAAAATGGAATTATGGGCCAGTGAAGTAGTTAGAGACAGAGTAATAGTACACGTGTAGACAATGTTGAGTCATATGTGTGACAGAAGGCAAATTCAGCCGTTGTCAAATCTCAGAGAAAAATGGAAAATGTTTGTCAGCCAATTTTCATGACTACTCCAGTCTAAATGTACATGAGGTATGTCGCCGAGTCAACATAAGAAATCCCAGTTGGTGTACTGTTAGAAAGCAGTTTTTGTTACCTTTGGTAGGGATAGTTTAAAACCAAGTTGCTTCAGTTTCCGGAATTGTTGTTGAGTGAGTCGGTGCATTGGCTGATTGAGGCTGTTATAAACACTAGTGAGTCTTGTTCTATATTTCTTTTAAATCTATTAAATTTCGATATCTCCAGCCCATTTACATTCTCCTATACATCATTCACGTATATTTCAACCACCCACTCTTTTGTAGATATTAATGCTACCG